TCACACTGTCAACTGTTGCTTTTACACTTCGCATCTGAGTAACACATAATAACGCCAAATTATCAATTCCAAGCAGATGGAAGAGCCCACATGAAAGCATCTTAACAAGTTCTTTGCAGACAAACACTCGGCCACTTCTTTGTACTCAGTCATAGATGGCCATAAGGCTAACAAGCTTGTTTGTGAATGCAAAGGCAACTCCACTGTGCCCCATCACACTGTTCACATGCTGCTTGGCTTGGCAGCTTCAGCAACGAGTGACCTTGAGCTTCACAATTATACGGCTGTTTTCTGTTCTCTCTCTTGTAATTTGCCTCTGTCTTCTTGTCCTGACAAAACCACAATTTGCATCCGATTTTCTTTGCGAACGCCTGACTAGCACAAAGAAATGAAACCGGGCTCGATAACATTTTCAAGAATCCAGCATTAATTATTTACCTTACAGCTCCTCCTCTTACATTTACAGTATATTTCATTCAGAACATCTCTATCTTTCCCCTCCCTTATGCTGTGCTGTAGCATCTGATACAACCTAAGACTGAAATGAGATGGAAAGTTGCCGTGATTGCTGTGAAGGTCCATTCAAATATACAGTAACAGGCAAAGTTCAGCCACACATTGCAAGAAATTGTACAACTGAACCCACTTATGAAATAAACATAACTCCTGCCAGCAGAAACCAGCTTCTTGCTTTTGTTGACACAGACGTAATCTTCCCCTATAATGCCCTCTAAAATGCATAATTACTTTGCCTGAGTTGACAAGCTAAATCAGTTTCAAATAAAGAAAGAAAAAGTAAAGCAGCTCTGCAGTCCATCTCTGTGGTGGGCAATGGTTTGACTTCTAATTAATTTTGATTTCTTTTTGTTGGGAATTCACTTTCCCATCTTCACTTTGTAATTTAGTCTAATTTCCCTCCTTCCCCCCACTCTTGCAGCTTTGCACTCTCAATTAATAATGAACGCACTTACATTTTAAACTTTCGCAAAGTGAGGTCTGAGTATACTCTCATCAAGGAGCTGTTTACAGCAGTTGCTGTTTACAGAAGCTGATTCCTTAAAGTCTTTGACCTGTAGTGCTTTAGATTAATGCTGGCATATGCACATTGGTCATGCTAATATTGGATGTTTAGGAAGGACACTTTTTTATCATCCTGTAACATAAGAAAAAAGAAATTCATTTTGCAGTAATTTGGCTTTAAACCAAGCAATCCAGTGCGTTTTTGTTTGGCATTTAGACAGGGTGAGGGTGATGGTGCAAGAAGGTCAGGGAGACCAAAAGAATTAAGGTTCATCCATCCAGAGCCATGAATGTCTGTAGAAAACTGAAATTATCCATTCTATATTTCCTGAGACCAAAGTTGTGGATGAACAGACATTGCCATCACTAGAATAATTCACCATGCAGGGCTCAAAAAGCAAAATAACCAACAACTGCACACTGTAGCTTTTAGAAAATCTTACAAAGACACAATTGATCAGTGCTTATATTGGGGACTACTTTCAGCTGCAGATTAACACATTTGCTGCTCTGGTTGAGGGGGATTAATTCAAAATTTATCGCACATGCCTGCGTTCATCATCATGAAGGAATATGTCACATGACGCAACTGTGTGGTCACTGATGTGCTTCAGTAGCATCTGGGCAAGAGTGGAGGACGGAAATTTGTCGTATTTGGTCTTTTTGTCGGCTTTGTTGCCAGTAAGAAAAATCTTAAACAGTCACTGCTACACCCTCCAAACATCTCCTCTCCCAGGAGTGTTGTGAGCTCATCTCTCATAGCTGGATATCGCCTGCTAGTCTTCGTCTCTTTCTCTCCTGCTCATCTCTCCTCAAGTCCTTTCAGCGGTGCACTTGCTGTCACTATTGTTCTCAATGCAGACAGCCATGCCAAAACTCTCTGCCTCTGCGTCTCTCAGTCTCATCAGCACACAGTGCGTCAGGTTACAATGTGAGTGTTGGCCAGGGAACGAGGCTCAGTGCCACGCGACACATGTCACACATACTTATTTGGTGTTAACCGGAGGTGATATCATAAATTCTTTATAGGATAAGTTGAACTTTATAGCATTGACTGCTGGTGCGTAAAATATGATTTACTTTCTGGATGGATGTGTGCGTGTGTGCAGTTTGTGTTCATGTGTAGAAAAGAGGGAGCCTTTTATGTCACAGTAGGGTCCTCCTTAATGCCATCCCTGTGCTTTTTCGGCAGCTCACCTCAAGTCAGCATCCGCTTAATGGTTGTGGCTCTGCCTTTGGGCCAGGCTTACAGAGGTGTCTGTGTGTCAACACGAGGCTAAAAGTGAATGCCGGGTCCGGGAGTGAACCTACTTCCTATCAAAGATTGTACACAATATTGTGGACCTCTTGTAAGGTCGAAACCTTCTCAGGGACTATGAAATGCTTTGCTGGCATGACATGAGGGTGAAACTGAAATGGGAAATAGCTTAAGCTGAGGGCCGTGATCAAAGTTGCTGTGATTTATTTAGCAATCTGCCAGCATCTACTCATCAGCACGAGTTAATAGAGGCCATATCAGGCAGGGCCAGGCTGCAATGTTACCTTATGGCAGCTCGATGTGTTTGTGCCTCCCACAGAAAGCCTGGGGACCGTGCATGTTTGTGTGTACTGTATGGGCGTATGCATTTATGCATGTTTATGTGAGAATCAGTCATAATGTTTAAACTGTGATTTGGCTATCTGCCTGGGTACACATGTCCCCACAATGAGAAAAGCTTGTTCCCTGTGAGGGCTGCCTCCGACAGAGGGAATTTTTAATGCTCAGGCTGTATCACTAATCTGTGATATGTCATCCGTTTTTTGAAGATTTTCGGTGTTGTAGTTTATCTTTTTTGCTCTGTCTTTGTTCCCTCAGTCTGTGTTGCTCATTCCATGCTTCAATTACTCGTTCAACATTTGCCAGAATGTCTGTTGGCCCTGGTGTGCATCTCCAAACTTGTTGCATCTAGGTGGATTTTTCATGAAAGGAAATACAGAAGTAACATCATGTAACGTTTGTGGCTTTTTGTAGCGTCTGCAGAAGGGAGAATACAATACTCAGAACACGATAAGTCTGGCAACTGTGAGGCTTTAAAGGGGATTGGGGAACAAACCTGTGTACATAATTGGTGTGGATTTCTCCAGAATGTTAATATGACAGCAAATTAATGACACACATCTTTTGGATTTAGTAATGAGAAAGCAATCCAAAAAAGTGACATTTAAGATTCAAGATGTTTCTACTATTAAACTCTGTCTCTTTGTGCACTTAAAATATGTTTGTCATGTTTTGCAACCATAAAATGCCAAAATTCTTACATTTTACAGTCTCTCAGAAATGTGCCATTTAAACAGGTTCCATTACAAATAACGGTCCTGCATTCACATTTTTAAAAAGTGCAATAAACTGCTTTCAAGTAAAAGTAAAAGTATGCATTACGATGAAATTCTATGAACAGTACTTATATACTATATACTTATAATACTGTAGGCAGTTCTGATGCCACTAAGTATACTGTATGCTGATAGATGTACTTTACCTCCTCCAAGTTAATGTACATCTATGGCTACAGTCTGCAATTAATATTTTATTTCAATGTCAAATGAATTACATATTTTGCCATATCAGCAAGGTTGTGCTTCGAGACCAAGTGCTTAAACTTTCTGGGAAGGAATTTACATAAGAAGCTCTCTAAGATTAGAACTGTAGTTAATGAGGTTTGGATTAAGGATCGTCACTTCAACCACATTTCTGTCCAGGAGGTCCTTTGCAATTTTAGACGTTAAAAGGAGACAGAGAACAAGTATTTACACTCTTCTACGTACTTTAAGGCAATGTGTGTGAGCTGAAATTGGATCTTGATGTAACATTATTGTATTATTAATCAAACTGCTTTTGTTTTGGTTTGTAGACTGCTTGTCTTCACGCACAGACTCATGCAGGCGGGCTGTGAGTAAATTGGGTTGAATGCATATCAAATCTGCAGGTCGAAATAAATCTCAGCTCTGTGAAATTCCAAGCACATCTTTTTTTTCAGTGCTTGTCCTCAGGGCACACAAAAACTGCTGGCTTTCTGTCCTTCCAGTTAGTTAATTGCATTCACAAAGCACTCCATATGCAAACTTGCTCATGATTACATGCCAGGAATAAAAGCAGAGTTCTGAGAACTGAGATGTCAGTTATTAAAAGTGAGGACAAGGTTTAATAATGGAGAGAGAAAAAACATAAAAGAACATCATTTTTCTAAGATAGGCAGCAACAAAGTGGCGTGAGCAGGACATTTTTTCTGGATCCACATACATGTCGTCGCCCCCCCCCCACCCCTTATTTCTTTAATTTCCCACCATGTTTCACTTCTTGCACTGATCTACAAAGTCTGTCACACTCAAGCATGAATGTATTTCCAATTATTAACAAACTATTTCTCTTCAATGTTCCCTACCATCAACAACTCAAATGTTTTTTTGTTTTTTTTGTGTGTGTGCCTTTTTTCAACACTTAGTAATTACTACATGGTTGTAAGTTGTGGCGCAAAGTGAAAAGTGCAGTGTGGAAAATATGAGGTAAACGTAAGGAAATAAGGTGTCACCAAATGCCGGTGACATTACTGTAAAGGATGCATACGTCTCTGAGAGGGATTAAGCAGATGTAACCCCGCCTTTATTTTCCACAGTTCTTTACAGTCGCTGAGTCTCTTGCCTCCGTCAGTACCGAAGGTAACTCCGCTCCGTGCGTAAAGCTCCTGGACACCACAAGGACACCGCGCAGCTTCATCCTCTGCTTCATTCTTTAAGAGCAAAACTGATGAAAGCTTTTCATTAATAATCTGGGAAACAGTTAACGATTATAGGTGTTTTTTTTCTCTCTCTCTCTCTTTCTCTATCATTTATATGTAGGTTATTTTGGCTCCCCGTTGTGCATGTTTTTTTTTTCTCTCTCTCTCTCTCACCAGTTTGAACTAATGCCTCGCACCCAAGCCGCCGCACCGACTCGATTCATTTACAAAGAGTAAACAATGTGCAAAGCAAAAAAAGGATACAGTGGGAGCTAACTGTGGATGCTCTTGGATTTAACAGCCGGTGCCTGTAAAAACAACAAAGATTCAGTCAAACTTATGGCGTGAAGGTAAGACAGTTTATTTGTTCTGTGTGTGATGTACAGAATTAAGACAAAAACAAGACAATATAGATCATGGCTTCGATCTGTGTAGTAGATAAATAATGCTACTCAACACCCTGCATGCATACGGTGTGTACGTTTCTGTGAATGAGTGAGTGCGCACAGGTCAGCGCACGGACAGAGTAGGTGCCACACAAGCTTCACGGTCAGCCTATAGGAAGGATTTATTTGTATGACAAGCCGACCATTTACATTATTGATCCTGGTTGTACGATAATACAAAACAACTGAATGCAAACATGTACTCTCCCTGGTAATCCCGCCCTGGAAAAGTGCTCTAAGTGAGTTATACCCCAGTTTAATTCGTGCCTGTGTCAAGCAGCTCTTCTTCCCAAACCAGAGAAGCGCTGATTTAAGATCTGTTTGTGCTTTCCAGTTTGCAATTAGTGCTGGGTTCACTAGAGGCAGCCACACAGCGCTTCGTGCAGGGCAGGTGACTGCTGCCTTTCTGTACAACCTGTCCTGTATCAACACTAAGCAGCTTTAACAAGTTAACTGCTGGCAAAATAAATGAGGTGAAGAATAATAGAAAAACAAAAAAGGGAAGGTTTTGACCGCAGCTCCTCTGATAAACCAGTTACAATGTACCTTTGCTCCAACAAGGAGTTTATTGTGACCTTTTGTGATTTATGGTATTTTAATTGCCTGGTTATATTTGGAGATGTTGTTGCATTTGAATACAGATTTATGCCACTCCACACTTTACTACATATCCACAGTCTTTTATTGCTTTTTCCCCCTCTGGGATCTTTATGCAAATTTACAATTAGATTTGCCATTATATAAATAACATATGACAGAGAATGATGATCATGGTGATTGAAGAGTCAGCGTTAAATAAATAAATAAATACATAAATACATAAATAAATAGATAGATAGATAGATAGATAGATAGATAGATAGATAGATAGATAGATAGACATATTAGTGACCTTAAAAGCTGCTTTGACTTTTGAGCAGCTGCTCTGTAAGCCAGCAGGCATGAATCTCTGGTTTGGTTGGGAGAAAATGCAACCGGAAAATAACACCTGGGTGGCAAATTGGTGCTGTCATTAAAAATGACACTGTCAGGCTTTATTTGACAATTAGGAGAATTGGTCATGCTACTCCACTTGGGCAGAATTAACTATTTGCATGCTGTCTTACGAGAAGAAAGTGAACCGCTAATCTCAAGTGAAAGCTTTAGTTAAATACCGGAAGATTTGCTGAGTCTGGATGTTGTGTCCATTTGGTGTGTTTCCAAGGCACATATTGAATTCTAAACCTCCCTGTCTCTGATCTGTCGCACCTCCTTGTGTTTAAAGCAGCATCTCCAGAGCTACCTGATGTAACGCTTGTCAACCCAGCTGTTTGGCTCAGATTCTTTGTGTTTTTCATTTCTTTTTTATGTTGACGTATGTTGAAGTAATATTTGATTCAAACATCAGTCTCTGGAATAATTACCTGGATTACAAGGATTCAGATTCCATAGCATGTAAAATGCAGATCTGCTTGTTTTATTGCTTTATGCTGTGAGAGACAAGCTTACATAATGATATTTGCATAGAGGCAGTTTACAGTCTTTAAGTGGATAAGGCGCATTGTTAGCACAGAAGTTAAAGGGTTTATAGCTAAGTCGCTTGATGCAGCTGGTCTGTCAATATAGACATTTAAATTGCATGTACTGCTCCCAAGAGAAATGACATACATTCAACAAAAACAACAACACAAAAAAATCCAACACTGTCACAGCTTAAATCCAATTATTTGTTTGTTTACAGGGTTCTGCTGCTTGATCCAGTCTGTGAAATTACAACCTCATTTATTACACAGGCACATTTGAAAGGTGTTCACCAGGGAAATATCACTTGCATTGAACTGGGGTGATGCAGCTGTGGACTGGATCTGAAAAGTGAAAACTAAGAGGCATTTTTTTTCTATATTAAATGAGTGCCACCAGCTTTCTAAAACACTGCTAGTGTTTACAGTATAAAATACTACAAAAAGCAACATTTGATACAACAAATAACACTCATGTGAATGTCATAGTCATCTCTATTTTGATGTTTTTTTAAAATTTAGTTGTCTGTAGAGTAGAATTAAAGCACTGCTTAATAAACAATAAACTCTAAAAAAGGAAGTGATGTTCACTAATTAAAACCTACATGCAGGTAAAATAGTGTTTTGCACACTACAAAATTGACATGATCATGTGTGATAGTTACGCTTTCACAAAAGTTAAACCAAATAAACGTCAAGGTCCACAAACACTTCCTAATCATGGTGCTTGTGTAACACGACTCTTATCAGGCACAAAATGTTAAAAAGCATCCTATTGTTCCCATAGTTGTGTCAGTGTAAGAAAAACAGCTCCAGCAGAACATTATTTGGACGACAATACATTTTTTAAAAAATGCAGAAGAAAAGAGAGAAGAAAAAAAAAAGCAGCACAGAGAGGCTTCAGTGACCTTTACGTGCGACTCTGTCCGAATCATAGGCGAGCTTAGATTAAATATAAACAGTTTAGATTTTCAGCAGATCCTAAAGTATGCTATCTAATGTTCAAAATGGCCTCCCTGCAGAGAATGTAAACATCTACTCATCTAAGTAGCAGTGGAATTGTTGTGTATCTTGGTAATATTGCATCGGTCACATGTGACACCCACCCGCTGCGAAAACAGACGCTCATGTATATCTTGCAGCCTATGTACGGTGGTCATATGGCTCAAGCAGCCCCATTGTGTTTTGACAAGTAAATCATTTAATTGTATTGGATCTCTGTGAATGTATCGGACTGGCCTACATTCTCTCCCTCCTGAAGCCCATTCCCCAGCACATCAAATACGTCAACACTCTTGGGACCCGCAGCATCACTGAAGGGATGGAGGAGCCAATTAGGTCCAAAAGCCAATAGGAGATCTATCATGATCTGTTTATACTCCAGGTTACAGTTGGACGCTGACAAAGTTATGTCAGCTGGTTTATCGGTTCGTGCGATAATACTGTGTCCATATTACATATTGATCTGCATGGTATATACTGTATAAGCAGTATGATGCATTAAGAGTATCTGGGGCTAGTGTTTGGTTACAATGAGTAGGCTCTATTGTTGTTGTATTTCATCGAATATAGGAGTTTTTTTTTTTTAACACTTATTTTACGTGCTATCACATGTATTTTATTTTTAAGCACCTCCTGTAGTCACATGATGAGCTGTACACACACAGTGCTGTATTTTTTGTATTAAAGTTCAGTTTATAACATTTGAATTTCACTAACCCCTTCCCAAGTGCATCTTTATATTTAGAATTCATGCACATGCGAATACACAAAGTTGCCAAAGCGACTGCCATTAAAAAAAAAGGCAAAAATAACTTCTGCAGATCCAATGCTCTGCTAGATACAAATGCATCATCACATGTTTCTAATTTGAAAAACAACCTGTTGGTCTTGGTAGGCAGTCAAAACTCAGGCTGCATAGAAAAAACATTGAACCCTTCCATGACTCTCTATCTCAGTGATCCACTGCAGATGTAGACACTCACAATTTTCCCCTGAGAGGTGTGAAAGTGCTTTGGCCACAGTTAGGCTACACTGTCAGAGGACATCAGGCATCCCCTTGTATGGCCACGTACAGTACGTGTGCATGAACGCATGAACTCAGACACACATGTATGATGAGCATCAGTGGACAGGGAATGTCCTAATTGGTTGTAGCCCCCATAGAGCTTTATAAAATATCCGTAGCAAATGGCTGAAAAAGTACTTCAGCACCCACAGGGAAATTCTTTGAGCGAACAATCTGGACCAATGGAATCAAAGACATTGTATGGCAGTTGACAGGACCATTAGAAGAAAAGGAAAGGTTTTAAGATCAATAGAAAAAGTAGAAAGAAAGAACTGAATTTCCCAGGAGAAATGAAATTTCTTCCCAGTTATCTAGCTGTGAAGTGTGTTGGTCTTAATACCCCGAAACAGGAATCTGTGGTCCATTCAAGAATGTCTCTCTGTAGACTTTAAATTAGTGGCACTCGTTCCAGATCATTCCGACTCCAGCAGATGGTGCCTGCCACTCACAAACCCTCAAGGTTGTGTGGAAAGAAAAATTATTAGTCAAACACTCCTTTAAAAGCTCTTCTTTGGCTGTGAATCACAGTTGTTAAATGGACAAAAATTAAAAGGTGAAAGTAGGATGAAGTAGGGTGATGTGTCAAATTTGAGATGCATGATATGACTCATGCATCATTTTTTTTTTAGCCTCTTATGTCAAGTGCTAAATAAAAGCAAGCGTTGTACTAAACAGCCTTTCAGCGGCAGCTTCCTTGACATTTTCCTCAAAAGTCTGGGTGTCTTTTGTTTGGCGAACAGAGCGAGCGAGGATCCTGTATGACCTTTTAGTCTTAGCTTTGATCAATTGTTGTACAATCAAATGCTTCCTTAGCAACTGCTACTATCTGAATACAGCAAAGCCTTTAAACTCACATCAGCCACAATCACGGACAAGGTCCTCAAAAAACTGAATAAGTGCATAACTAGGCTACGTAATACATAACAGATTGATTAGTCCTGGTTATGTAAAGGATCTGTTGTTGCCAGTCTCACTGAGAATCAACCAAGCCTTCGGTTTCATTATGCTTGCAGCCACTTGGATCTCATTGTTTTGGCTTTCTGGTATAGACTGATTGGTTGCTTGCCAGTGGCTATTAACAACCCCAAATGCAAAACCATAGGCAGCTATTTACAGCAGGCTCAGATGAGTGACAATTTGTGAAACAGCAGAGAAACAAAGGTTACAAGTGGCTGCAAAAGAAAGTGCTTGAAGCATTTTGAGATTTTCTTTAGTAAGTGTAAGTTAAAGCAGGCATTAACAAAATACTATGGATAATATAAACACAGGACCTAAGCTTCGGAAGATCATTATTGTGTGATGTTCAAATGTCAGCAATCGGCAGTTGTTTGCGAGCA